ACATTTAACAAAGTCTCCAGCAGGCCCTGGCTCATCATCCACCACGGCTGCTATACCTCCTGGGCTACTTGCCATGCATTCTTTTCCATGCATTCTTTCTCTTTTTGCTTTACTTCATTCGCTGATAGTGCACCGATCTCCACAGCTGTCGTGCCGTCAAAAGGCTTAAAATATTGCCATCTCAATGCTGATCCATCAACAAGGGCATCTCCAGAGGCTGCATTTGTTCTTTCTGCTTCATTTTGAGCAGAGCCCCTAGAAGCACGATGGATTCGGTTGACACGATCAAATGAATGAATGGGGGCAATTTCTGCGTCCCTGAAACGAACCTCGGTATTGGTTATTCCCACTCTAGGGCCTGCATCTATGGTCTTCAGGATGTTACAACACCTTCTAGGGGGGCTCAAATAATCTATTTTCCTAAGATACTGGGAGCATTCAGTTAAAAGGTTCTCCATCGTGTCCCACAGCTTCTCTTGTTATACTTAGATAAGCATATTTCTTTGCATTGAGGCTGCGTTTTCTTTAACGCTGACAAGTTTTTCCAGGAACTCATTTGCCAATGTTCCATCAGATTCTTTGGCCCTTTCTTTATCCTCTGTCCCTCGACAAGCCACGCAAGTTTCTCATTCTCATAGCACTAATGCTGGCAGCCAGTTTTTGGGGTAGCACATATCACATCTTCTTCCATGCATTGCATTGAAAGACCACTTTCTGCGCAACAGTTGACATACATGTAGGGTTGTAGGGTTGCTGAGGTTGATCATTATTAAAGTTTAAAATGCTTATTGTGTAATGGACTTATTTGTTTGATAATATATTTTATTTGTTTATCATTATATTTTATTTTAAGAGAACTGCAATGTTTACAAAAACTGGTATGGCCCTCACTAAAGCCGAGCTTTGGTACCCTCTTCTTTTTGGCTCCATAAGATTTAATGATCCTCCCTCCATCTGCAACAGCCCCCCCTCCCCACCCTAAAAAAAGACAGGTCCCTAGGCGTATAGCTGTCGCATTTAATCGAATTTTTTGTTGTTGAGATTCAGTCCAGTTATGTTCCGTTTCCTTTGCTCAATCTAAACTGTTTTCTTTAAGAACTCTGTTAATTTGATAACCAAAATGGATGTTGTTCGATGTTTACATGCAGGAGGGAATATATCCCATAAAAGGATGGAAGATGATGAGGAACGATTGTTCAACCATTTGTTTGAAAACTATAATCCTCGGCTTCGCCCAGTCCTGAAAAAGTCTGAAGCAGTCAATGTAACGTTTGGAATTTCACTTCATCAAATTATCGACGTGGTGAGTCTTCAGTTTCGGGCAGTATTGACAGTATATTTTTTAAGCTGCGTGTTCTTTGCTGTTCAAAAATGAAATCAGAATACTTGGAAAAGAAGCTGTCTTGATCCATAATGTTAAACGTTTGAGGACCATACTGAGAGTAATTTCAAGTTAAGTTTTTTCGCACCGTTTTCAGCGCTAATTTTTTCAAAAACGCGCGATACGAACTGGTAACCATAAACAAGGGTCTTCATTTTTAGTGATTTCGTTTGTCCTTTTTCGTTAAACAGTTGCTTTTAGTATTCATTGATAAGTACTGCAAACTACATCTTACCTCGCGTTTTGTGATTTATTGCTCTTTAAGGATGAAAAGAATCAATTACTACAGACCAGTCTATGGATTCGACAGGTAAAAACCTTTAACACTGGTTAAAATTGCACTTGCTTATACAGATGTAATTTGCACCGTGGGCAAAAAGCACGAGTAACCCAATGTATTTTCTGCATTCTGCTAGCCTATTGCCACTCTTACACTGGCTATTTCAATAGCCAGAAACGACTGCAGGTGACAGAGTTACAAGAATGATAACAAGCTATTGCATATGATGTAAATCTGCAGTGATTATTTGGTAACTGACTAAGTCCTTGTTCACGGGAACCGCATATTTTCATACGAATCGGCCTTCTATCCACACGAAACCAGTAACCAACGCTCAGCGGAACTGTATCTTTTTAAATTAGTCTCCAGACTTTTTTAACAAGAAATTTGCTTGGAAAACAATGAGATTACTTCTTGTGGACACAGGCCACTTCACTAAAAGTAATCAACAGAGAAACAAATTGAGATATAGTAGGTGTATAGTCCCAGTCCCTGGCACTCCCGGCCTAGTAAAGGAAACACTCTATCTTTCTAATAGCTCTGTAAAACTTGAGATTAAAAACCAAAAAATGGTTTATCACAAACAGAATATTGTTTTATCAGTTTTTTATTCTTCTAGGTGTGCCCAGGTCACTACAATTAAATGCATACGTTTCTTCCCATTTTAGGTATGGCATAATCCGTTTCTAGCATGGAATAAATCACAGTTTGGAGGAATCAAATCCATTAATGTCAAGGCCTTCGAGGTGTGGACACCTGATATATACCTATACAACAAGTGAGTTCTTTACTCATGAAATATTATTTTAAAGCGAAAACATTTGGAATAACTCCTTATGTTAAATTGTAAATCGATTGTTACAGTTCTAAAGGAAAAATGTCATCGTAATCACCGATGCCGGGTGACTAAGTACAGCATAACTATATGGTGTATCATGACAAGCGCAGTTACGAAATTTTCATTTCTTTTACTTTACAGGAGTATAATTGAAAGTTTATGGTTTAAAATTGCAACTATTTGACTATTTGTTTTCATTAGTGGGATACCTCGCTATAGCGACTAAGCGGCCCCCGCGCAATGAAGATAGCATTTCCCTATGCATTTTAGTCCACACATACTTTGACCCCAGTCATAATAACAATCCTACTTTCATTTGTTTAGTGCCAATAATGAACGTGGAGGTGGAATGGATCAGTTTAAAACACAGATAGTTATAAATTCGTCTGGATGGAACATATGGCTGTCACCAGCTATTATAATAAGTTCTTGTAAAATGGATGTTAAATATTTTCCTTTTGATACACAGGTAAAGTTTATCTTTGTTCTTGTTAAACATGATAAGTCAATTGGGATAAGAATCGAATCTCTTTCGCCTAAGTACGACATAGGACAACAGAAACGGAGCATATTTGACAAGCTTGAGGAAGGGTATTATCCTGTAATACCCTGTAATACCCTGTTGTTTTATGACAGAAACACTAAGTGTTTGGGAAATATTCTTTCTTCCATGTATTCTCTGGAAGTATGTATTCATGAAGTATGATTATTTGCTCAATAAGATTTTTTCGGTTTCTAGGTGGCTTTGCATGCCCAATCATGACAAAGGACCTCCTGATTGCAACTTTGAAGCAAATCCGGAGATCCCGAAAATTATATCTAACCCGGAGTATCCTTGTTGATCGAGTATTGCACACGATTAACTTGAGCTGGACCGGTTATTCTTTTTGTGGGTAGGAATCTCATTAAGAAGGGTAGGACTAAATTAACACCTATGAAGTCATAGCCGTTTGCTATTTTTATTTGGGTTAGGTTTATACTGCCATAAGAGTTCATAAGAAAACAGTAAAATAAGACTTTCACTTGAGTACGTCCGCTATATACTTTGGGACAAACAAAAAAACAGAAAATTATTAAACTTTATTTTATCGTACCAGGTTAAAACTTCCCTATACGTTCCGTAAGCAAAAACAACAACACTAAAGAGCAATGCCAGAAAAGAAATATACAGCAATACAGGAGAGCACCTTGTGAGGAATGGCCACAAATAAGCAACCCAGTTTTTAAAAAAAAATTCATGTTGATTATCCCACTGAAAAGTGCTGTCTTTGTTTGTTCAACAGTTTTGTCTTTTGAAGTTTGGTTCCTGGACTTACGATACTTTCCGCGTAAACATAGTGCGAGAGGTACCATTTGCAGAAACAGACAAGTTCGTTGGTAATGGCGAATGAAAACTCATCGCATTTCCTGCAGTGAGAAATGAAATTTACTACGTTTGCTGCCCCGAGCCTTATCCTGATATAACCTTCACTCTGCAGATACAAAGATTAGCATTGTTCTATTATATAAATCTGATCATCCCATGTGTTTTAATCACAGGTACGACAGTTAAAATATAAGAAGCTTATTTGGCAAACACAGGAACCATTTTTAGTCAGCTCATCCAAGGTCCGACGAATTATTTCCCTCGTTAGATAGGAGCTAAAGAAAGGGCGGATATATAGTAGGTTAACATCTTGAAGCCTTTGAAGTCATCCTTCGATTTTCTTTCCATTCAGTATAACCAGGTCAGTCAGTTTTTTAAAACCAAAATGAAGTCATCCACCAGAGAAATCCATCCTTGAAGTTGATAACATTGACAGCATTTACTGACTGCTAGAGGGCGGTGGTCAGTAAGTGATCACTGAGTCGAGCCAAACAAGTTTTAATAGCTATCCTCCGTGTTATAGATACATGTATGTAACAGTGAGAGTGACTATAACCTTAGTTCACCAAAAGCAGTCATTTTGATGGTAATTGACCGACCAATTATCTATTCGTAAATAATTTTACTCAATGGAAGCAGGGCATTCAGAAGGCACTCAGTCGCCTCCAAAGCCTCTTTAAGGGCTGTTTTAAAATTTTTCATGTTAAGTCACATTCATTCATAGAGTTTATATTAACAATGGACATGAACACGTGGAAGCGTGGGATTCTTGCGGACTCTTTGAGGTCGTAGCTTGTCCGTTGATCGACAGTATTTTGTGTAAACAAAACGATCCAGTTCTTTAGGGTTTGTCAAGTGACCAACTTTCTAGGGTTTGTTTAATGAAACGTAATAAAGAAAATGATTTTACACGCCTAATTTATTTTTACGAAAATAAAAAGCTCCTATATCGTTCATTATTTTGCTCCATTTTCTCGACGTAAATGAATGAATCTAGTTCCAGAAATGGCGACTGGGCTGAATCCACTAATCATCACTTGTTATTATCTTGAACTCAGTGTTGACTGTGACAGCCTTTTGCCTCCCCCCTGAGTCCGGTGAGCGCATCACGCTGGTGATTACCAATCTACTGGCCATGACTGTGTTCATGCTGCTTGTTGCCGATATTATGCCATCAACTTCAGAAGTTATACCCGTCATCTCCATTTACTTCAGTGGAACAATATTTGAGGTATGTTAACCAAACAAAGTTTTGACTGGCTACCATCATTATCTTTAAACCTTGTTACACGATCTGTTCCCTGGATTGCTTGTGCTTATACAGGACATACATTTTCACTAGAGGGGAACAAGTATGTTATACCATCTTCTTCGAATCACTTGCCAGTAGTTATTTTAGTCATCTATATCTACTTTAACTGTGAAAAAAAAATTATTTTTGGTTGCAACAAGTGCTATCAACACTGATCTGATATGTGTTCGGCTACTGCATGGGTTCAGCAGTTAAGTCAACCATATTCACTGTACTACTTTTATCGTACAGTAATTGGGGTGTTTAAAACCCTTTCGTCAGGTTAGGTTTTGTATCAAAAAGGAGCTTTTGATTATCGCAAGAAAAAAATTGAGGAATTTGAAAGATCCGGGCAAACTGAGGCACTGCCCGTAGGATAATAGAGAGCCACTGGGCTGCTGGCCTGACAGACCATTTATTATGTTGTCCGACATCCCGGGAGCAAAATCTATAATCCCGTTTCTTTTACTTTCCATTTCTGTATCTTGTTGATCCCAAACCCATACAGTCATACAGAAGAACTAGTTATTGCATGCATCTGATATAATTGCTCATTCCTAGGTTGCCTTGGCTCTGTTGGCTACGTGCATTATTCTCAAATGTCATTTTCAAGACCCCAGTTTATCAGACATGCCCATCTGGGTCCGACATGTTGTGTTCAAATGGATGGCTCCATTATTACGCTTTAAACTTCCAAAAAAACGTAAACCCAAACGGATAAACATAACAGATATGTACAGTGTTATTACCGAAGCAACGGAGTCAACCCCTAACAACAAAGTGTACGGACAGAAAGTTCCGAAGAATATGGTGGCATCCTCCATTGAAGCGGTGTTTCCTCGGAGTAATGAAATTAACCAATCCATCGTGAGACAGCTGTCTTATTTAAACCTCGTAAATGGCAACCACAGATCAAGCCAGACAGTTACCAGCCAAGTGGATGAGGGCTTAAGATCAAGGCTGACCGTTACTCATGCTGAAGACTGGCGCCGACCATCAACAACTGCAAACCTTTGCAGCAATGAAAACCGTGACGAGCAGCATAACAGTGTGACATGCGTAGTCACTGAGCCGCCGACAGTAAACAGCAGTGACAAGCGTATGGATGAGCTCTTAAAAATGCAGACAAAGTTATTGGAATATGTCCAGATGTTGGCTAATGTAGCTACCGAAAACGAAGAATTGCAAGAAAAGAAGTTCGAGTGGAGTCTGGTTGCATCCATCTTTGATCAGGCTTTTCGAACTGCCTTTTTAATCATGATATTCTTATCAACTTTGGCAATCCTCTATATCTCAAGGAGTTAAAACTAACGACTTGTGCTTTAGACACCTTGCCAACAATGATTAAAAAGTAACTGACAAAAGTCAGTCAGTCGTTTTATATTCATTATTAGAAGGAAGAGACATAAATTGCACTTAACGCATGTTTAACTTATGAATAGCCTGGTTTTTAACGGTTGGGGTACCTATTTTTACCACAGCGTTAAATAACAACAACATCACACAGTTTTCAAGTTTTAACAGAGTTTTCTTTCAGTAGAGAAGTTCAGGCTGTCACGTGACAACATTTCAAAAGCCAAAATAGATGAAAAGAATAAAATATAATAAAAATATGTACTTATGCCGAACTACTGGTGTTCATAGCAGCAACAAACAATCATCGGTAACTGATCAAAGATTAAAATTAAGTAAATAATACAGTACATTAAGTTACATCACGACTGTTGATGAAATTCAATGATTGACGGAGTCAAGCAAAACTAACTGTGAGAGAACGACTGGACAACTGAAAATTTACTCCCGTGAAACGACTGTTTAACTGTGATAATAGACGGATCTAAAATCACCAGTGACAGTACGAGTCTTTATAGCCAATAACATCAGGGCTTAACTGACAGACGACCAATAACATCGCGAATAAATTGACCAACGAGGTCAATAACCAGAGTTTAATACCATCAACTGACGTGATACAACTCACTTTGACTCTGAAAATGACTACTGCACAGGTTGTTGAAACATTAGTCAGTGTCAACAACAACAGTCCTATTCAGGACTACGTTCATCATACTCATCCTACTTATAACTGATCATTGTTTGGCACGAAGATCGAAAGATGATGAAATAAACCATAACGATTACCTTAATGTAATCTAACCCACATCTCCATTTTGCTCTCCGTCGATTTCGACCTCGTTGACGAAGTAGTCTCGATGAGGTATCGAAATGGGCTACTTTATCCAAATAAAGTAGAACCTCCATTCAGGGCACACCTTCGGGACCATGAGAGCAAATACCCCTTGATATCGTGCGCACTTAAACATATCAACGATTTTAGTGGTCCCACAAAAGTGTCCCTCTCCCCTGAATTAAGGTGTTCCTTCAATAGAGGTAACAAATACAAAGATATGTGAACATTTTTTACCCGTAACAAGTTTTCTGTCCCCTGAATGGAGGCATCCGAAAGGAGAGGTTCCACTGTACTCAGACTTAGAGCAGTCAATAAAGACAAATGTTCTGTTGTATTGGTATGATCACAGCTGTTGGCCTGGCAAGTTAAAAAGTAGTATCTTCGAATGAATGTTCTATATTATGGAATTAAAAAGACACTGAGAAATTGTTTAACTATTTTTAGATCACAGTTATCGTTTTCGAGGATGATCCAAGAGATATTCAACAACAACTCTAAATTCGTAAAACAAGAACAATGGTGAAGTGGCAATTACTTGCAAGGGTAGAATTCTTAATGAAATCGACGAACCGTGGCGAGCACGGCTGAAACACTCAATTATTTTGATGTTGATATGACCACAAGATATCGGCTTCTTGAAAGTGAACCCCACTCTAGTTATAGTTCCAAACCAAAGCCCACGCAAAAGATTTGTGTCCACCTTGACAGCTAGCGAACTTTCTAGAGTAGCTTACAAAGAATTCCTAATTGGCGCTTACTGAAACGGTCAGTCAGCTCTGATCAGGGACCCCTCCCACCCTCTCCTGGGAAGATTGATCTCCGGCATTTTCCCCAGTCTTACACTTACATAAAAATCAAGATGGCAACCGTTACCGTAAGCGCTGGGTCTGGACGATCTTAGGTAAATATAGTCTCCTGTTCAAATTTTAAGCCCCTCCCATTCAATCTCATGGCCAGTATGGCCAGCCTTACATGAAAAATTATAGGCTTTTTCGAAGGAGTATGGTAAATATTATGGTGAGTGATTTTATAATAAGCTAAATACTTTTTAGTTAACTTTTTACGATCTATAATCTGCATAAGTTAAACCACTATCAACAAACAGACTACTATTCGATACTATTCGATCGTCGTCTGATTAACAAATGAATTTCACAGGGGGCACTAGTTGCTTAGTTAGAAGAACTGTTATGTCGCAAATATACGTTCCTGTACAATATTTCTTTGTCAATAAACTCTACAAATTCTGCCAACATCACCAAGCTTAAATACAATTAGACCTGAGCTGGCGTAATCGACCTCGCGCAATCGCATAAAAAAAACTATATCCTTCAAATAAATCTGGAGGTCTATTGAAAAAAATATAAATGCTATTTCCTCGCAAAGGGAGGTACATAAATTAATCGGAATTCGCATCGCGTGTGGATCGCTTAGGGAGGGAAAATCTCGGGTGGCTTTAATTTCATCATATCGTTAGGGTTTGCGCCAGTTGCCCAGAAACAAAAACCGTGTGGAGGCAAAAGGATCTTCGCAAACAACTATATATTGTTCACAGTACATTGGAGAAAAATTTGGGAAAGAAACAAGAATCCTGTTACTGTATGTGACAGCAGCTACTATGTTGAATGGGCACTGAACCCTAACCCTAACCCATTTCTTTTTACATCTACACTAATATAACCGTAGGTAATTATCTAATAAATATTCTTCCTCGTTTCTTTTCAATTACAAAGTTCAACAGGTACATTATGTATGTATACCTGTGAGCATGTTGATAATGATACGTTTCTGTATGTTATCAGTAAATAAATTGTCGGTCTTTTTCATTCCCATGCATAACTCGGAGCCTGCATGAAAATAACCACAGTCGAGAGGCATAATATGAAGAAAAACAGCCAAAGAAAAAATTTGTCTATAATAGCAGCAACAAGCTGCCATTCCTCTTTCATGAGATCTCCTATCTCTTGCTCACGAATATATCGGACAATCTCTCCCACATCCTTAGAAAGAGAACTCTGGGTTTCCAGCAAAGTCCTTTTTGTAGGATCAGCATCTGTAACGTCCTCTGCTGATTTGCCGTGTACGTTGGTGAATAGAGGTTGGGATTCATTATCCAATAAGTTGTTTCTGGAGTTTGCGCGACTAGCGGTACGGCTCTGCAATCGGCTTGGCATGCGGAAGTGATTAGGGATACCATCTCGAAAGGCACCACCCAGATTATCAAAAATTGGGGGCATGCTGTGACGATTGTTAGCGGCTGCTTTGACGCGTAGAAGATTCAAATGTGGATGAACATCTCCTGATAAACTTGATTCCGAATTCTTGAAATGACTGTGCGAAGATGACTGCAGTCGTGAAATGTTGGGAATTTTCTTGTGGACGGCAGTTTCCGGATCTATGTTGTCATTTTCATCTGTTTGGGGCAGTTTTGGCTGAGAGGGTTCCTTTGCATCGATACCATGAAGGATTTTCTTCCCCGGTACCCTAGTAAGACGAGCCATCCAGCCAAGGACAACGTGACGAACCCAGTTTGGAACAGGCGTGTGGGAAGGATTGTTGAAATAGCATCTCAAAACTAGGCAAGTTGCAACTAGCGCTAGGGCCACCTAACAAGAATACAAAGGTTTTATGTCACATGTGCAATTAAACATTTTAGCATTAACCATTTTCTTCTGCATTCCGGAACAAATACAAATGAACCTAAAGATAAACTTTCAAATACGCTGCATTTCTCTGCCACGCAAGGCTGTCTCACGGAGAAAGAATAATTTCTGAAAATGAAAGGTTTTTTACTTACCTCAAACACACTTCCGTAGAAGTAGACAGAAATGAGAGGAACAGTCTCTGAAGTAGCCGGAATGATTTCCACAACAAGTAACATGAACACAGTTAAAGCCAGCAAATTTGTTATGACAAGCGTCAGACGCTCACCGGATTCAGGAGGTAAATAAAACGACAAAAGCGTTAAGGCTGTGGAGACAGAGAAAAACAAGTCAAAACCAAACCACAACCACGGAGGTAAACATACTGAAGCATGGTATTCTATAGTGGAGCCGAGTCGCTTGCTGAGAAACAGTTATTTCAAAAGTGACCATTTGTCTTTGAAAACTGTCTAGCATAAAGTTCAAAATAATGATGGAACAGAGACTACTGAAGAAAAAACAGTCTAAACAGTATAGTGATATAATAGTGCGAACCATTGCTCAAAGAAGCTGCAGCTATAATGAAACGTATGGTTTTCACTGAGGACGTAAGCATTTAGAGAAGGCTGTAGTTGCAAATGAACAAATTAAAATGAACAGTGAAAGTCAATTTTGTGGGACGCTGGATTAATCGATCACTATGAATGTTCCGCTTTGTTCTGATAAGCAATGGCTGATTCAGAAAGCTGTGATAGGTAGGTAGGTAGCAACTTTATTTAATGAGGGTAACACTTGACATTAAACACTGATGAACTGGTGGCCCTGTTTGAAACTTTCCCAGCTAACCTAGAGGAATTCAAAAAGAAATCATGATCAACATGGAACGTAACTATTCCAAAAGACTTATTTTTTCTCTCACATGTTGCAATCCTAAAAAGCTGTTCCAAGGGAGAATGACCGGTACCGATAACTTCTTTAACAGGGACTCAATGCCTCTTCATCTTTAACAAAACCTACCTGCCGCGCAACAGGCGTTGCACGAAGCACGACTCGCGAGGTCTTTAAGGATCATTCTCACCAGGCTTCCAGGACGTAAAGCAGGGAGAAAGGGGGACATGGGGACGAGAACTCACTCAGGCTTAAGAATAAAACACGCGGAGCAGTAAATGAAAGGACAACATACCTGATATTAGGAAGCAAGGAGCAATCAAATTGACAAAGTAAAACATATGACGGCGCCGTAAATCCATTGTGTACGTTATATCAGGATACGGTTCAGGGCAGCATGCATAAAACTGCTGGTTTCGTTTGCAAGGCATACTATTGAGGTCCCACTCTCCATGCCGAATGAATTTCTTAATATCTCCAGTACACTCTTTTGGGTGCCCCTCTGGGACAAGATCAAGTCTTAAGCCATCGTACGTCCATGACCCAAATTTCATCTTGCACACCTACCCAGCAAATAGTAAAATAGCATAAAGGACAATGCCGACAGATCAACGAAAAATTTGAATTGGTATTTTATTACTATGTTGTTTCGTGCCACAAAACTGTGGCAGCACTTTCAGATGTATAATAACAGATATTTTCTTTTGGTTTTGATCAATAGTTGCCAAACTGATCCAAGAGAAATATGAACCGTTATTTGTGTAATAAATATTTGCGATGATCTCAGTGAAGAGGTTATTCTGAAATAAAATGTGCTAAATTTTCTATAGCTCGGTCTTGACTATTACCACCATCAGAAGTGAATTCCTTGTTTATTTACCTGCCTGTCAAAAGGGAAATATGTGACGTCAAATTTGCAAGAGCTTGAGACAATCTTGGGAGCCATCCACATGATCATTCCAGTCGACTGCACAACAATTTTTGTCTTGAAACGATCCAAGGCTCCATCATCAGAATCATCCACACTAAGACCAAATAAATTATCATTTTAACACAGCCTGTGTTTAATACAAATCTGTAGTGCAGGCAAAACTAAGAATCCTAAGCACAAAATTCCGCGAGAAACTGAACTTGTTATATTCATACCGTGAAATACTCAATGAAAAGCTATGTCGCAAATTTTCGTACGCAAATGAGTTCTAGCTATCAGAAGAGCAAACTATGTTTATTTCACGTGTAAGAAAAATGATACGTCCAATCAAAAGCCATAGCAGTGTGTGAGTTTCGCGCCAAAATTTCCGCCTTTTGAAGGCACTTGCAGCTTGCAGCGCCTTCGCTTTGGGAGTTGCATCGCAGAAATTTAACAAGAAAAATCCACTAAGCATTTGAAACAAAAGACCAGCAAAATGATAAGCGCAATACCACATGGAATATACTTTGTACGATATTAACGCACTGGTTACTTCGCTCTCTCGTCCTATTTATAATACGTCAACAACTTCACAGACGTCCCTCTCTCCTATTTTTTTTAAGGGGAGGGGGGAGTCTGTACACAGGCTAATTGATGTTCCTTATTGTAAAATAGTCAATATCTCAAAGGAGGTATTTGAAACAGAGCTTGTTCTGAACCTTATATTCATGACGGCTGTGCCTTGAAGGCACATCTTCTAAGGAATTTGACAGTTTGCCCACTGTAAAGAGCTCTTCTTACTTCTTAAACTACCCATATAACACTGATGCACGCAGCTCTGACAACACGTAATAAAATGAAATACAGGTGTATTAAAGATACTTGGTCTCGGTGGAAATAAGTGAAGTGTCTATCCTAGGAGTACAAATTGGCATCAATCATGGACAGAATTTGATCTTCCCAGACCCTAAATATTCCATAAGCTCCGCCGTTAGGTAATTGTTGTATCGATATATGCTGTTCACTTGAAATAACTTTAATCAGAAAGGATTTTATTCAGTTATTAAATAGTACTGGACGAAACTGACTGGAAAAATGAAAAACACAAACCCTACACTGTAACCTTAGTTATATTTCAATTCCTGGAAAGAGTTAACCAAAAAGCCAAAGAAATTTCACTTACTTATTATACAAAAAAATATCAGGTTTCCACATTTTGCTCTCATGAACGTTGACTGCTGTTATTCCACCAAATTCGGACCTGTTCCACTTTAAAAACGGATTGTGCCATGACTGTGAAGTAAATAGTTTATTTCTATGGATTAATCTCCAATGTGAATATTTTTATTTAAGATTTTAAAACACTTTTTATATTACTCAATTTTTATCGTAGGGGCAGTAAATGAAAAATATCGGAAGAAGCTGTCAGCAATAAAAAAGATGCATGAAAACAAATTATGCAAAAGGTAGCAGGCAGTATGACAGTCCTTAACTCTGACTAAGGAGATAGTTGGTTCTCAAAATGCTTGAGAAAAATGCATCCAAAATGAGAACATCATTAAAAAACACTAATCAAGAATGAATTTTCTACTACCCCTAGTACCTGTCGAATCCAAACGCTACTCTTCACAATTTGATTCTTAAAGTCCTGAAAAGTCAAACAGTCTACTTCAGATGTTATGTTAGAGACGCTGTTCAAGATACCTGAGCCGCGCCCACTATGAGTCCACCATCATATTAAAATGGATGGCAACTGTGGATTAATTAATTACTAAGACATGACCCGCATACTGTACAGCCTGATAAGCAGAAACATGATGCAGATCCTGTATTAAGAGAGGAAATTATTGATTCAGGTGATAAAAAGAACTCCTAAACTTAGCATGAAAAAGTTTGAAGTTTCCGGAATATTTGGGAGGATTAAGATTTATGATCTCGATAATTTGAGCAAGAGGCCTTTATTTAACAAATTTTTAGCATAATAATCACGAATAAAAAAAATCCCATCTGTTGGTATTGTTCGTCTTTGCTTCGCAATTACGCTTTCTTTTCTCTTTCTGAAACTGAGAACTGAATTTATTTTCCGCAATCATGCACTTTACTCGATCGCATTGTTGGAATAGTCTCTCGTACACAAAATTAAACAGTCTTTAAATAGACTTCAATTGTTTGATTCCGCCATTAAAATTCAAACAAACTCTTAAATACTTACAGATTTCACTTTTGATCAAAGTCATTCCCAGATCACTAATCACTATTTCTTGACTCTTATGTGAACAGCAAAAAAAAAAATGACCATTCCATCACACGGGATTTTATCTTTTGGGTAGCCTTTCACAAAAGAACACTCGAATTGTTCGAAAGAGCCACTCTAGGATTACGTAATTAAGGCCTATAATAAGAAAAGGAAATACACTAAGTTAAGGTATTTTTTAGAATAGCCAGACCACGGTTAACAAGCTTTAAAACAAATAAGTGGACTAGACACGTCTTTGTAGACAACAACATGAATTCATCATTTGCTAGTTCTCGTTGTTTGTTTGTTTTTCTTGTATCCATTTTAAACACACTTTTTACCTGAAAAGTTGCCACTACATTCAATAGGAAACGAAATGTTAACAATAGACGTTAAAAACAATGGGTTGGTCTTAATGAGCTATTAGTTATTAAAAGGTAAAGATAGTTATTTGACGAAATGTTTTGAAACTAACCACTTCAATGATCTGATGTAGGGAGATACCAAACTTAACACGCACAGTATCGGTCTTTTTTTCCACAGGTCGTATCTCCGCATCAGATTTGCTGAGCAGACTACGTAACAGTCTTTTCTCATCGTCATCCGCTGCTTTCTTCTCAATTTTCTCTGTGTAGAAAAAAATATATATTTAAAAATTAATTTTTATATGCGATCCTTTGAAAGAAATTATTCGGGAACAACCAAAGGTCAATTTCAGGGAGGTAGCTTTGATTAAAACATGCACCCATTTATTCAATATTTTTTTCCTTTTTATGAATTTATTCAGTTACCTATCTATTGGTATGATAAAATAAACTTCAGTCCCACTAAAATGCTGGTAGACTGACGAATGGCGCAACCATGAGATACCTAGACTTGCTGACAAAGTCGAGAGCTTTTTGAGCGACAAAATTCGTTTTTGTAGGCGGGTCGTCATGTCATCACTAAGTTTTCCCTTCTGACTGCTGAACATACAATAGTGTTTTTTAAGAAAGTCTGCGGCAAGAGGCCAAATGTACCGAAAACGCACCGAGTCTGCGTCCTTTTGGCCACCACCTGCATGCATTTCAGTATCATAATTGCTGGATACGTAACTTACTGACAACCTTTTCGATGTTTCTTGTTGGCGTCTATCACGTGAAATAAGTAGTTTACTTATTCAATTATTTATTTGTTAGTCTTTTTGTTTAATAGCATGTTTATCATTTGCGTGTGTTGTTGTACTTTTCGTGTGTTTTTTAAGCGCTTCTGGAACATTTCTAACAATGTGAGATCAGTTGGATGAGCCATCAACTTAACTCAGTCGTACTGTTTTCTTTTTTATGACTGCTGTGAATCAAACAATTGTACGAATTAGTTGAATCGTGGCTCGTGAAAAGCTCAACTGTGCAATTTTCCCCTATTTTCTGCAATTGTGCCAACAGGGAGCACAATGAGGCATTACAAGCCTTTTTAGATAAAGAACTCATTCACCAAAACATCCATCTTAATGCGGAAAACGCCGGTTGCCGTGATATATATCTATATCTATTTCCTTTACTATAATTAATGCTTTTAAGGATGTTAAAAGTAATGTCATCCATTCAGCTTCTTTCATTTCAGTAAAGATTATTACAATGAACGAGGTGTTCATTGATAAATATATTCATCGGTTAGTGTGTTTGTTTTACTGTACAACCAGCACATCTCTGCTAAAACATACGGCAAACTCCGAATGTTTTCTTATACTTTGATAACAACAGCGCTATCAGTTTTTAAAAATTTGATAATGTGTGACAAAGCTGCGCCAAATTTTCTTGTGTTTTCTCCACACTTGCGCATTTATGTGGTATTATCAGAAACAAGCTAGGCTGAACACAATCTATGTGTTTGTTATTCTTAATGGTAATTTCTGTCAATCGCGGCGTAAAAGTCATTGTGGCCAAAAGGTTGATACGGGTTTTTGATAGTAGACTAAGTTATACAACTCGTTCATTAACGCGGCTCTGCAAACGATATAGAGGGTAGTAACTTGCGGGATCTGCGTCAGGGGAAAAAGTTCTCACACCAAAATGTATTAATATATCCAGTAAAACTAATGAAATTAGAAGCGTGTTAGTTGCTTTCTCTGCGTAATGAAGGTTCAAAGTGATAATAAAGTATAAGTGGACTTCTATAGCGCAGAGTTGGCTATAACATGTTCGTTTTGACTTTGCGGTCTATTACGTTAGCGTTCATCTGCTATGAAGAATATCATCAAAGACTAACCTTCAGCTTGTGAAACAGCCCACAAAGAAAGTAAAATAATATTAAAATGTACGTAGTGCCACATGTTACTTTAGCCTTGGTCAGCCTTCACCCATGAAGCGTTTTCTCTCTACTGAAGCTAGTGAAAGACTAACGGCGCGCAATCCTGCCGAACATTACATATTAACATATGATACCCACAGTTATTATCCCCGGGGCAACCACTTCGGATGGTTGAGCCCAAGTTTATCTGTTTCCAAGAAACCGGATTAAACTCTCGATGTAAACGTTTTATTTGACTTATTTAACCTCAAATTTCAAGCCGTTTGGCCGTAAAACTGTTATTTTAAAGCAGCGCCAAGACGTACCATCCGAAAGCCGCGTACGATCGAAAAACCGGAAGAGTAACAATGGTTTAATCGTTTCATGTTATGGTTGTTAAGAGAACCTCGCAACTCATGGGTCTTGTATTACTTTATAGGAAAAAACATAAAACACAATTACGACAACATCTGAAATAAAGCGCGCATTAAATGTGCTGGGAGAAAACACTGACAGTAGCTTTATTTAATTACAAATTATTGTCTTTTAGTTGAAAGGTTATGAAACCAGTGAAGCGAGTTATAAAATGGCCGAACAATAATTTAAAGTAAGCACAAAAGGGTTTCACAGAAAATAAAACAATAAGGGTTCAACATATTTAGCTAGCTGTAAAGTTCAGCTTAAAGTGCTTTCAAGCCAATCCAACTTCCAAGCTCTTCATAACAAAATAAGACCGTCAAGCTATTCGACTACTTCCTTTTGTTTCGCCGCGTATGTTATATGTCACTATCACATAAATGTGTCAGTTTTGGTTATGGTTAACATGCTAACCTGTCTAGCTATTAAACAAACATTCAAACTATGTATAAAAGGTTAATTAATCTTGCATCAGCAAAGCATTGAGGGACCAGGGTTGAATTTTTAACCTCATTGAAACCATGTTTTCTAAAACATCGTCTTTAAAGAAAATTCTCTGAGTCATTTACGCTTTGTTCTCGAGCTCTCTTCAAAAGTGTTACAACTTCGGCCCAGGCCAACTTCGTATGCTTGGTTATTTTGGGATACATGATTCTTCAAAAGTAATTATCTTATCACATCAGAATGAACATTAGACCTGATTACCATTGTAGATCATCAGACGATAAAAAACACCAGACCCCTGGATATTCCAATATTTCTGCGTCCCATATTATTGTCCCTTATGTCATAACTAGCATAATAATACAACAATACAATACAATACTTTATTTAAGGTGGCGTATACTCTTAGCTATAAAGATTAGTTAAAAAAAAACTTTACTTGCCAATTCACAGGTATGCCACCGTTGAGAAATTATTAAAACAAAATAAAAGCTATTACAATTAAAATTAAGTTGTCACACAGACAAATTATTTATAAAAATTGATTAAATAGCCGATTTGTCGATACTAAGATAATGACTCATTTTCTAACAGTTTTCTGAACGTTTTAACTCGGACAACGCCCTTTAATCAGGCAAGTTGTTCCAGATCTTGAGCGCCTTATACCGCCACGAATTGAGTCCAAACAGGAGCCCATAACCCGGAGCGTTCAACTGCCATAAATTCGTGCAACGGCGTTTTTACAAGTGAGTTTATTTTTAGATAAGCTTTTCCCGCGAAAAATAACTGTTCCACGAGGCCAATTCCTCCATTTGATCGTCGTTTAGACTGTTAGTAGCTCGCTTGGACCTTGTCACGGTCGGCTATTTCGAAGATGATTTCGATTTAATTCCCTTTGCGTGAATTATGTGTTGTTGCCGGTGAAGTACAGGTCCTGGCTAGGTTTTGCAAATCTTGCTCTGAACTGCTAGTTTCCGTGTAAAATACTGAAATTGTCGCTTGAAGTACTGTCAGAAGACTCCTCTGAGGATTCCCTACGTGTGTTTCAATGTGAAGGAGTTGTCCTAGTTACGTATTAAAGGTTTATCATTGATGACGCAATTGTTAGTGATTGGGTTTTCGAAAGGAATTCGCGGGTAAGGCTTATCTAAAAATAGACCTACTTGTGAAAACGCCGTTGCATAGGCGCAGTATGGAAGTTAGACGCTCCGGGTTATGGGCTCCTGGTCCAAAGCTGTTTTGTCTAGATCCCCGGGCTACTTCCTAGCTATATTAGTTGGATCAGTTAAGAACGCCTCACTTTTTCAAAAATTTACCTTGAATTTGATCGGTTTTCGCGTGTGTGACTTAAGCGAACTGATAAGGTGTTATTCAGGTATTCCTGTTTACTTGATTGAAACGTGATGTTAATGAAAGTCGCCTCGATGGATAAGATGGAGTTGATTTACATGGCTGTGGTATTTGTTTTTTGCTGAGTCCCGCAGTTTTTTGTAAAGTGTTTTCCAAAGTTGCTCCAAATTAACGTCTTGGAAAGTGTCACGACAGGCCTTCGCTCAAGTGAAATTTAATTTCCGTAAAACTATGAAAAATAAAGAGATCCGATCAAACGGATTGTGGTTTAAGTATAGGTACATGAATGTCTCACAGCACACTAGAAATGAGCTAAATCTGTGTCTCAAGCAAAATCAACCGGACCGCTCTTACAGAGACACTCTCTTAATTAGGGTCGTAGCTTTAAATATTCAAGAGGCTATACCGAGGTTACAAGGCGAGTGACTTATTCAAATTTCCGTTTTTATCATTATAACGAGGTAATTTCCTTTCTTCGTCTTAGGAACTTGAGTCAGTTCAGAGTCAGTCACCGCTTTCGGGTGACGCAAAATATTGGGGATAGGAACACCACGCTTTAAACAACGAAGTTACGAAGGGAATCAGCCATCCTTTTTCACCCTCTGTTTCTTTGCTTTGGAAAATTCTATTTTGTTTTTACTTTAGTTATCTTTGACGTTTTTTTGGGTATGCCGGCTCGTGCATACTAAGGTACAAAAAGCTGCTGCAGTTTCTAATCCAAAACGATGTAGCCTCCTGGATGTTCTTGCTGGCAGCCCGGTACACGGAACTGAGTTAATAAAATACAACTTTCTCCGTTGTTCATTTGTTTGAGTAGTAATTGTGCACAGAACAAGTAGTTAATAGCAACCGATCAAAGCTACAATAGCGCCTAACTTTTCTCATCACCTAACAGTGACAATAAATTAAGCTGCTTTTTGCCTAATTGCTTGCCGATAAGCTAAAATGGTTCTTAACACACTAATCCTCAGTTCATTCTATTTCATTAAACCAAACCATATCGCTTTAATATTGCCGCGTTTAAAAAAAATTCTCTTAATTTAAGTAAATGTGTGGATTGTCTAGGTACTTAAGTAAAACAATTACTTTGCTTCTTTTATTTCTATTTCAATATAAAAGGTTTTAATGAAAGGTTTTCGAATCCATTTGCCGCAAGGGGAGTGACTGTATGTCAAAACTTTAAGCATTGAATTTTTTTTTGATGGATGAGTTTTTCGTTCCCGCGAGGTTATCAATAAGTTGGTCTGAAAAGTGTTTGGAAAACACTGAAAGGATTTTAAAACAGTTTTATTATTGTACATAAGATGCAATTAAAAAGAGAAGATAGATTGCATTTTAATCGAAGCTAATCCAGTTCTGTCCAGACCTTGCTCTAAAGTACTGTTATCGTCATCATCAAAGGCAATCAAAGCGTGGAAAACTACATCCATAGGTAATGTCGAACACTATTTCTTTGTTTGGTAAATTTGGTTTACAGCCTAAATATTCCCTTTTTAAAATATGCTAGTCAGAAAAGATCATTTGTTTTCGCTTTACTGATAAGGCTTGGCTGTGCAGGATGTGGCACGGATAAAAATTTCGACTTTGATTTCATTGAATAGCAGGGTAACGAGTGTGACGAAAATTATGACCAGTAAATCGAACCAGCAACAACAACCTGTCTGATCGAGTCATTTGAAATTTATGGCCGAGAAACTAATCATTAAGATCTCTGTTTCACGAATAGTTTCTCTAGAAAAATAGTTTACAAGGTTTCAGCCGCCTTAACACCCGTCACAACTGAAATTGATATCTATGAGTGTGTTTTAGTTTCTTCAGACTTGCTTACGGTAAGAAAAGTTTTCCACCCTTTGTTTTAGCTGAATGAAAGCAGCCAATACGTTCATTGCCAACGAGCACCCTCCGCGGCGGCAGCATAATAAAGCCGTGCGCGAAAGTTCTAAGGCAGAATGAATCTTGAAGCGATGTAACAGAAGGTAGTGTAAGGTAACTTTTATGACGTAATGCAGAACCTAGAATGCATTGTTTTCAGGGAACAAACGGTTTGAAATTAAGTACTAGAAACTCCTACGTTACATTCTAACCCCAAGTTAGCGTTAACCGGTTTTTGAACTACTCAGCCCCGTTCACGGTCCTTACATGTAGTTGAGGCACTCAACGAACGATTCCGAATAAAATGTGCGTTCAATGACGGTAAATGACGGACCGACAAGATTAACCTGCAGCCTGCATTCTCGTAAATTGCGGTAATTCATGACATTTCTAAACAAATTGAACAGCGCGCACGTATAAGTAAAATTTTTGCTCGTTGGCACTTGACAAGAGCAATAACTAGTTTTAGTTATGCATTTTAAAATTCTTTATCATTAATTCATAAAATTTCTCCTTTACTGATTGGCTAAAATCCTACTACTAATTTTTCATAACCAGCTAGCGTTAACCAAGTTTGGAAGATGATTATGTAACTTTGTGTAGTTATGGGCTTTCTGTTTATTCAATCTTCTATTGCATTTAAACTATTTTTAAATAATTAAAATTACCCAACCTTGTTGAAACTAGCAGTTGTCCGAAGGCTACTGACGAATTCCCATTGAACTGCAATTTTATTATACAGCGTCAGCTTCAATAAGATTTACGTATGTATAAAGCTTTCGAGTGTTATACAGTGAAATATCCGACGACTGAATTGATTTTTCTTAGTCGTTAACGGTTTTGTTTTTGTTGCTCTCTGTTAGCAAATTCCTAAACTTTTTTTGTTCATTATTGCCTGTTTAACTTTGACTTTCAAATGCATACCGTCCACATATCAGCGATTATCACTTGATGCATTCTCAAAACAACTATTACAAGGAAGTTTAAGAAATTTGTCCCTATTCAATAGAATAAAGACATTGCT